GAAAGCCACGAGAGAGGTTCGAGGGATCCTTAATCCCTGGACCGCTCTTCAATTTGATACAATTTCCTGTCCTCTTTCTATCGCGTCGACGGGGAGCAGACGTCGGCGGTTGTGCGCGTACAACCGTCAGGTTGACCCGCGCTTTATCGGCGACCCCTTTTTTTCCCGCCATACCGCGGGTTCGTTACTACCGTCACGGTGTATTTATTGGTAATTTCCCGACAAACCCGGCGAAACCCCCCCCGGTCATCGAGATGCGTAGAAATGTAGGAAATCGAGCGGATCTTTCACGCTCGCGCGTGGAAGCGTAATTTCGAGGGCGAAGAAATACTCCGAGGAATTCCGAGCGAAAGGTATTTAATTAAGGGTACATCGTGAAGTGATGTAGTGCTCGCTTCTTAAATTAATAATATCTTGAATATCTCGTAAAATGTGTTGATGAAGTCTTTTTGTTATTCACAGCAGAATAAGATATAACGAAAATTAGACAACTTTTTCGAAATCTTACAAGCGACACTGATGCTAATTAAGATTTAAGGGCAATTATAAGGATTCGCCGTAATCATTAGAATAATATTTGCAACATTGTGCTACAATCACCCAAGTATCTTATAAACCGGAGCATCACGCCGTAATCACAAAATAATCATCGCGTTTTTCTCGGAAATGCCAATTTCTCTCTTTTGATACTGTGCTCTCTTCGCAATGTGCACAAAGCGAGTAACGATACATTTTTATGATATCTTCAGGTAACGAAAGTCTGTGAGATTCCAAATAAAGTACCTACTGTACCGGCATTCTTTCGATGCAAACATTTATGCTCGCGGGAGAAAGAGAGAGAGAGCGCGAGAGAGCGAGCAAGAAAGCGAGAGAGCCACGTCTGGATGCCGCCTTTGAATCATCTCGTCGTCGTAGGCACTTTGACTGAGCGAACGGAGCAAAGTACTTGGCCAAGTATCTACATGACAAGTACGTCTGCCCTGTAACGGAAATTCTGCTCGCGGAACTTATGGAAGCGGCGGCGAAACGAAGCGTGCTCCCTCTGTTCCTCTCCCTCTCCTTCTTTTTCCATCCCCATCATCGCGAATACCGTGGGGAAAGTTTCGGATGTGAATAAACTTTTATTTCTTGCCGTGGGCGAACTTTGCCGAATCGTATATCTTTGCGAAGTGTCTGCTAAATACGCCGCGGTATTATCTCTTTGTACCGTAGCGAGCTCTGTGTCGTAGCCAACGCGAATATAGACAGTTTTAATTTAAGTCAAGTTATACTCGAGCCGCGAGTTACGCTCTGCTCGACCTGATTGTTCTTAATTGTGCATCAAGCTCGACTCCGTTACTGTCACGGCATTGATATTCCAAGTCAAATAAGTTCGCTAAAAATGTAAAACTCTGTGTACATCCATTTTGATTGTTTCAATGAAAAAAACAAATGACTCGTCAGAAAAGAAAGTTAATAATTGTCGCTTTTTGATCACGGCAGCAGTAATATTTCGCTTAAGCCATATTTTGTGTTATAAACTTTTTTACATAATCTAACAATTAATTTTGTTAATTTCTAAACGCACGTAAAAAAAACTCTTCAATATGTAAAATAAATAAATAGAAACCTCTTAAAGTCAGTATAACATGTTATTATGTTATTAAAACCTTTTAAGTTTTAAAAATGAGAAAAAATTCGAAATATAAAGGTCATCAATTTCAAATTAATATAACATTATTTTTAGATTTTAAATTTCGAAATAACTTACATTACGTGCTACATGCCAAGCATAACGCGCGTCAAATACCATAGTATATTAAACGCGAATTTGTGTCACAGATAATGTTGCTCCTCTTGGCTTCGGAACGATGTCGGCGATATCTTTTACGTAAGAACGTCTTTAAGGATAAATTTATCACCTTTGCAAGTTGCATCATGCAGCTGAGATAGTTTTTAACTACTTTCCGCGACGGAGCAAATCAATATGGTCCAGATAAGAGCCCGCAGAGTCCTTGTTAGGATCATCCGGGTTAAACCTCTGATTTATCGGCGGGAGCTACGCGCGAAAATCCCGAAGCTCCTGGAAATCTCTCAGGATACTCCTGCCGATTTCCATTTTTATTACACCGTATCCGCGGCGTATCTACATCCCTCAAAGAATCGACGGCACTAATTTGCAAGCATATAACTCAGGGTTACGACCGTGAACTTACCTGGAAGACGAAGAGAGAGAATTTGATTCTGGATCTCTACTGGGTGTCCTAAAAAAACAAAAAGAAAAGATGTTATAATCTGGTATTGCTTCGGTATTTAAAAAAAAATAAAACTAGTATTAAAAAAATTTTGAATAGTTAAACACACACCCAATGATGAATTATTTAATAATTGATTAAGTAATAAATAATTTAAGAAAAACAAAGAGAAATAGATCGATTGCCCAATATTAAAATATAGAATATTTCATTTGCAAAGACTGGTAACAAATATTAAACAATTAAATCATTTCTAATTATACGAATTAATGCATTATTCCATAGTAAACAAACATTAATGAATTGTTATACACACATAACTAATATAATATTTCGTCAATAAATAATTGCACAAGTATAATTTTTTATCGTTTTTAATTATTCGTACTACTTTTCTCGGAATTCTTCTCTTTTGTGCTCAAGCGTATATCGCATCGCGAAATCGCCATTGCTAATATAAAAGCGAATATTCAGCCAGTAACATTTTCAGCGATCTACGAGTCGCATCGAGAAAGAGGTGAAGGTCTGGAGGAGGAAAAGAGAGGCGCGTGATTGCGGCACCGTTGTGCGGCCAAATCAAATTTAAAAGAATGACTCGTACACTTGTTTCACGGGCGGAACAATGGCCTTTTGAACACATTCTCCTCGAGGACCTTTCAAGGCGTTTGCTGACATTACGCTGCACTGTCGACAGTACAATGGAGAATTGTGCCGCCGCCGTCGTCGCCGTCGCGAAGTAGCACGTCCTCCACGGTTCGGAAGTATCGGGGAATTGAAATAGGTGGAAGACAACTGTTGCTCCTCGCAGCCTTAGAGAAGAAGCTGAACCTAATTTGGCTCGTTCCCGAAATTCTCAGCCTAGTAATTCCCTGTCAGTCGCTCGACTCCGCACGCTCCTTTTCTCTACTCTCATCTCGTATAATTATTATCGCGGACAAAGTATGTCGATTGACTGTCCTTCGAATACGGATGTGCGCATATTTTTCGTACAAGTGTTTTCAAATGTTACGAAAAAATACTCTCTAATAGCCGGATCTATCGATTTAAATTTTATAATTGTCGCTGTGATAAAAAAATGTTACACTACTCACATCTTATTGATTTTGTTATTTTTTTCTAAACATTCCATCACTTTCTGTCCATCCTTATTTCTAACTATACTGCTTACTTTGTACTTTCAATAAGATGTATCAATTTAAATTCATGATATGATGAGCAAAACATTCCTAGCGTTATCCTTACATTATTATTTCCGAGTCACGCCGTCATATTGACTTGTTGTTCTCTTCATCGTCACGTCGCTTCTTAACACGTTCGTCCGCAACTTTTACAAGGTCGCTGGTCCTGAGGGCTCGTATCCCTGTCGTGCAACGCTGACGTTTGTTACTCGGAAGATTGCGCCCGCGGCCGCAATCAAGTCCGCCGCCACGAAGCGCGATTTAGCGTGTTATTACGAATAGACCGAACTTACAGAAAAGTGACTCGCGCGGCTCTAATTTATCGTTATTCCGCGTGCCGTTGCAGCGGCGGGGCAATCAATAACGATTAAGACCACGAGAGAAAACAGGTCGATTACGCCCCAAAAACTATCGATTTAAATCACCGATGTGGTTCCTACGTAGCGAGTTAAACGTTTCGTAGTCGCGCGGCATTCTAGTCATTATTTTAATTGTTGCGCGAGCGCTGCGTCTCGCTCTAGGGTCCTTAATTACAATGTTCACCGCGGAAATTAAAGCGATTCCACTTGCCTGCTGGCGTCCACACTTAAAGAAACAACCGCTCTTCTCTCGCCGCTCTCTGTTTCTCTTTTTGCGCCGGTTCGAGCAAGGTGAGAAGCAACGGCTCGACCAATCCAGCGATTAGAGTAACTACGAGACGTACAAATTGCTAACCCGTTACCGACATTCGCGGGAGCACGCTCATGTCGGGTTTATTTAGCGCCGACGATACCTAAGTAATTAGTGACAAGCATATTTTTTCCGATGAAACACATCGTGGTAAAAATCAATACGTCCCGATATATCTTTGCGGCGTGGTAAAATTTTTAACTTGCAAACTTAGCCAATTTTATATATCATGTGCTTTTTGCAAGATATATGATTTCTTAAAATCTGCATATATATATATATATATATATATATATCAATATATATATATATATATATATAAAATATATGAACAAAGATATATATAATGAGATCTAGATTTAATATACTTTTGACTAAATCAATTCTTTTAATTCAGTGACATTTGACACATTGTATGTCTTTAACCTAATTGTAAAGTAGCTTAAAACGGGTTTCATAAAAATTACAAAGATAACGAGAAAAAATTTTCTTAAAAAATGTCTTTCTTATTATAGAATGTCGATATTAGCAATAAGATTGAATTGGGTTAAGTAGTGAAGTAGGAAATGTCATGTTATAGAGACATTCCACCATCTATGTGCCAATTAATTTTGATTTTCCGACAGTCGACCGCGGCACATGTAACATGAAACTTTTTGTGACATCGTTCGCTCTTTCATCTTTCGCTGTATCGGGCTCGACGTAGCAATTAATTTGTCGATGCACAAAATTACGAAGGAATGTCAAAAAGTAAAGGGGAGTTTTTTGAAGGGTTTAAATTCTTAAATGTTTTCCTTTACTTTTTTACTTTTAATCAGAAAATGCAATAACACTTATGAAAAAAACATGGAGAAAATTTCTAGCTCTTATTATTAAAAAGACTGAATTATATATCCACTGTTATTAAAGAAAATAATATCAATATTTTTTGAAAATGTTACTATGAATAATAAATATGACGTTCTTATGATAATTTTCATTAATTAATTTTAATTAATTATGTGTATAATTGTCATATAAAAATAAATATTTTATATTCCTGTGATATTTATTCGAGAGTTAACAATACCGACGACAGTAAAACTATTGTTACTCCTTTAATTACAAGTTCCGCTAAAAAAGTCTTCTCTAATCAATTAAAGTTAGTTAAACATCGCCTGCAATAATTTCGCGAGAATTAAAACTAACGAAATTACCATTTTTTGTATCTGCATCATTTTTCGTTTTGTATTTGGCCATGCGTGGTAAAAAACCAGCACTGCCGATGTATGTATGCGATGCATTTCCACCTCGACGCGCGCCGCTGCACTCGTACGATACGACCGAACAGGCGAACGTTGGGGCGCGGATGCAACGCTTTCCACGCCCGCGCGTGCGAGTTTTTGTTTCTGCCGAGCAGTGCGCGTCGCGAACGTGACGAGAAGGCATATACATGTGTGGTAGCGACGGCTGTGTCCTGCGATTTTTGAGCAAAACTGAGAGTATCGCTATATATTCAAAATATATTCAAAAGATACCGATACTTCAAGTCAAGTTCTGACTTTTGTACTTTTACATCGATACGTCACTTCTAATAAAGCATTGATTACTTATTAAGTCTGTTTTAAACAAGTTTTTCAAAAGCATCAAAATTTATGATACTATTATTAACAAATAACTTATTATAATTATGATAAGCTAATTGCATATTAAGAGTTATTTTATTTATATCATCTTATTTATATTTTTTGGAAAATAAAAATTCTGAATCATTATTTTAGACATCTAACGAATGTTTGCGTTGAATTTATGATATTCAATATTCTAAAATATACGCGCAAGAATATCGACGCTATCACTACAGATGGTGCAGGGGTTTAACAAAACGGCACGTCAAAGACCGCCACTGACGTTTCGCCTGTTGCACGAAGTCGGCACTTTTCATTCAATTATTCGCAATTACAGAGGAGGCAGGCAGTCGCGTTCGTTACCGTTTTGGTAATTGCTGCCACCGAAAAAAAAATAGCCGCGAAACGAATCACACTTGTGCGCACATGCGAAAATACAAAAAACTATTCTTTATTTTGCTTTCGTAAAACTCCGCAAATAGCCGCAATTGTCAGGTTTCTGATAAATAAGATTTGTGTCAAGAAGTTTTCAAACAGATAATTTTGAACAATATTATTATAGATTGTACATATATATATATATATAGTATATTACGTTTGCCAAAAAATATTAATATTTTCGTCAGATTATATTGTCTAATTCCGAGTAATCAGTATATTTCTAGTTAATACAATTATCATTTAAAAATAAAAAATTCAAAAATAATCTTATTGAAATGAATATAAAAGTGTTATACTGTTCACCTTGTGAAATCTGGCTCTTTAGATACAAAAAGAATGTCTTGGCGAGATATTCAGCAGCATTAAACGATGATGATTGTGAAAGGCATCATCATTTACTATTTCGGAAGAGAGATGACCATTAGCGTGCAAGCCCAAGTGGCAAGTAATATGTTCTTTTGACACGACATCAAATCCGATCCGAGCTGTGCGCGCAATCGCGCTCTTTGGCCGTTCGCGCGCTTATAGTAGCGCGCTACACAGCATTTTTTAATCTTTCATCCGGCACTTTAATCATTCCACGGGCTAGAGGTAATAGACGAAGGCACGGAAAGACCGCCTTTCAAAAGTAAATGGATGCAGGATCCTAGCGCCGCGAGGCGGCTCCTAGAAGCGCAATATCGTTTAACTAGTTTAGACGTTGATTATTTATTCATTTCCATAGTACCGGGCCCGATGCACGTTCCGTTTTGATAGAGATTCCTCCCGGCGAGAGAAATAGACGGGAGAGTTGCACGAATAAAGCGGAAGATTGATCTTTTACGACCCCTCGATTTCAAGCCGTTTAACATAAATTAGACTAAATTGCAGCGCCGATAAAAGCAAAGTAATCATCGGAAAATTTCTCGTTGCAATCGCACATTATTTTTATACATTTTTATATTTTTTTTGTCATTCTTAAATTGTAATCCCAGATAATCACATTTCAGGATGGTTATTACACTGTATTATAATATCATATTATTACAGTAATAACTATTATAAAATGTGAATGAATATAGATGCAAACATTTTCCAAGATTGGAATAAAAAATTGTACTATTATTAGCATTTT